AATCACGCGAGAGAAGGCGCGTTCCAAACTTTCACTGCGCCTCTTCGATCCATTATACCTACGTACCGTGTACCAAACCCATAACCAAAACCTGTTGGACGAAATCTACGAAAACAAGCTTTAGGTAAAACTCGTCGGCCGGAAGATATTGGGAAACGGACTCGATCCGAGGATGGATCGAAAGCAACACTTTCTCGAAACGAAAACTCGCGTAGACTCCGTGTCGCTCGGCCCAGAAATTTTCGCTGAATATTCAAGAGGCGATCCCTTCCCTTTCGCGCTCAAGGCCCCCACGTGGAGAGCAACGTTGCCTCTCGTTCGTGTCTCTCGTACACACAGGCAAGGTGAAGGTATCGAGTCCTGGTCGAGCTCCACGGTCAAGTTGAACGTTTGTGCGAGCTTGTGTTGTGTATCGAGTTGAAATTTTTAGGGTCACGTCGAGTGGAATGCGCGGCAGGTGCGGCAGCATCTCGCATTCTCGAACAGCCCGGCACAAACTTTCTTCTCTCTTCTCGTCGTCGTTCACCGAGGATCGGTCTTCGTCAAAAGAAATCGTTGGCGGTCGAACGAAAAGGAAACGTTTTGTTTTTTCTCTTTTTTTTTTTTGGAAAATTTTAAAAACCGTTTCGAGAAAGAATTCTCATCGACGAGAGAATCGTCTCTCTCTTTCTCTGATAGATTCTTCTAGAAGGAGAATCGGATCGAAGAGATCGAAGAAGGAGGTATCGGAGGATCGTTGGCCCAAGGGATGAATTTGTTAAATCAATGTACAAGGGGATCGTAGTGCGGATTAATTAGGAGGAAATTATTATGATATCGGAAAATCTGGTAAACACCGAGTCATTTATCAGAGGCTGTTGCCTTATCGCACCTGATCTCGCCAGCTAAACGAGGTAAATGTGTCCGGATGGGTTGGATACACGAGCGCAGCTGCTATCCAATTCGGTTTAGTTAGGTATCGAGGAGTGACTCGAGCGAATTAACGTATTTGGTTTACGTCTTTACGGTAAAAGTGGTAGCTGCCAACGAAACGAAACTTTACAAAACGGCTTCCGTTAAAGCTTGATAAATAACGCGGAGCGCCGACGTGTTGTCGCGAAAAAAGGAAAAAAATCTCGTTCTCTTCGGATGGAAATTTTCACATAGAGCCCCTTATACAATTCTGTCCCAATCTTCTTTTCTCTTTCCCCTCATCTTTCAACTGTCGATTTATTTTCAATTATATTTCCGCAAATTCGTATTGTTTTCATTTACTCTTCTATCATCCATAACCATTAACTATGGTTATGGATGAAAAGCGCTATTTTCAAGATGGACAATTTTCGAGACGCGTTATGAAAAAAAATTTGCAAAAAGAATTTTATATTTTCCTTGGTCTCGAAGCGGCGACATCGAATTACATAAAAATTCGAAATAATTGGCAAGATATATCAAGACCAGTCCCACCGGTTCCTTCCTTCCTTCGTTCTATGTAATAAAAACAAAAAAAAAAAAAAAAAAAAAGAAAAAAAAGAAAAGGAAAAAGCACGATGAATACGTAATGGTATAAATTAACATATTCAGGAATATGCACGCACGCGTTGTTTCAACCACGTAGAAGAGAGCGACGTGGCTCGCGTGAAGCGCGAGAGCCCACCACCAGTTTTGCGACTCCAGGAAAAAGGAAATAACGCCGGTGGAGGTATTTCCCTTCCATAAATTCGTCCTCGTAAAAGGGAACGAGGAGGGCGAGGAATTTTTGCAACACGGTTCCCGCGTATGATCGAGCATTGTAACGAGGCATTCGAGGGGCGCAACAATGCAATTCCGTGCATCAAGTGCACGCTCGAGCCTCGTAGCTCACTTCCGTTTACTTCGATCCCATAAATTAAACAAATATGGAAGAATCGTACACTCGTGCAACGCCAACTGTACACCCGTTTCGCTCAACAATTTGCACAAGGGACGCATAAGTTGGAGGGAGGATGTATAATACGAATGTTTTCGAGGAGGACGTCGTATCTTTTTTTCTTTTTTTTTTTTTTTTTTTCGTAGGATAGATTCTTCGCGAAGAAATAAGCGAATATGGAAAATTCGAGCGTTTGTTTTTCCAATTAACTAATTTCTAATCGAACAGGAGTGAATTCTAGGGCGTGAAAATAAAGAAAAAAGAAATGTTTTAGTTTTCGATAAAAAAACTAATTTTATCGATCATTCGCAACTTCTTGACTCCACGCGTTTCAGAATTCTCGATTCAGAATTCTCTGAGCAAAAGCAAAAACTTAAAAATTTTATTCTAATAGAATAACCAATATCCAATGGAAAATCAGGTTAATCTCACTAATTAAAAAAAAGCTTTCCAACAAAACTTTTGATTCTCTCGAAAACAAAGAGAGGTTCCTCTATTTTCATATATAAATAATTCACACTTTCGAAATAATCGAATGACACGAAACGATTAAGAATTAGATTAATTAACTTATTAATTTGAATTGATCTCGAACGTTGCAAAAAAATATTTTCTCTTCGTCGCAAATAACGATTGAAACTAAAAACTTGACCCCTGGTTAACGTTTTCTTTCTTTCTTTTTCCTTTTTTTTTTTTTTTTTTTTTTTTTTTCCTTCGTCGTCAACAATATATCGGGTAATGACGCGGGCGCGAAATTGGTTTGATGTCGGCCATTATCGGAGAAAGTTTACAGCGTTCGTGTTTTACCGGAGTTTATCACCCGGCTTGCCTCCTCCCTCCCCCTCTCCGTCTATCATCTACTTCGTTCTACTCAGGTAGTCGCCGGTTAAGGTACTTTTTTATTCCTCCACCTCGTCGGAGACTTCTCAATTTTTTTCGAATTTCCTTTCTCACGCGAATGATCGTTCCGCTCGAAAACGGAATCAGAGAAATCCAGACCCATTCACCATTCGTTCATCTTTCGACTTTGCCTCGCTCGTTCAACCAAGGTTGCAAAACTTCGTCTCGATTCGATTTGAATAATTAATTCTCGACTCGAACGGCAGCGTGCCATTTACGTGATGTCACAGTCTTTTCAACGTGAATAACTCGTAAAAATTCATCCATCCAATAATGGATCCACAATCTTCGTTCTCGATATTGTCGACGACCTCGAATCGTTGGATCTTAAAGCTCATTCGAGTATATACTTTCACGGTTCGAAGATATACCGTTTCCCCTCGATCATCTTACTTTACATCCGTGCATTCTTACGCGAAAGCGGGCTACGTCAGCCGGTGGCCAGGAAGTGACTTCACAACCGGTGGCCATTCTTGACCGCGGTTTTGGCTCGAATCCTCGAATTGAATGAGAGTCGAAATTTACAATTTAAAACCGATGTTGGTTTTCACCGGTTGCCCGATTTTCACCGGTCGAACGAATCATCGGGCGAAATCTTGAAAAGGGAACGACAGGGCCGTTGTTCTTATCTCGAAGATTCGGAGAGGGATTTTAATTAAAATGGATAAAAAGGAAAAAGAAGAAGAAGAAAAGAGGCCGTACGCGTTCAACCTTGCAAATTAAATCTTTTTGCCGCGATATCCCTCTTGGGGTGGAACGTTACGTTGAAATTAGATGAATGAAAGTGAAAGTGTATGCGTGACACACCTGGTTGGTAACCTTGCGGAGACACGTTTATGAATGGAGTTAAAAATTTTTCGCGTGAATTTATTTCGTTTAATAATCTCCGATAATCTATCCGTTCCTCGAACGGAATATGGGCGGAAGCATTTACGCAAAATCGTTTCTTTTCCCCCCTCCTTTCGGATGAAGAGAAAATCGCGTTTGTTCCCGCTCGATGCGTGTACACGTGGCCGATCTTCTAGGTAGAACTTCTCCAAAGTACATTCTGCTATGCTCCTCTCTTCCCCCTTGCACACTCTCGATTCACTTTCCTCGAGGAACAATTACACACACAGGTGTGTTTAAAGAAATTCTGTCGTTTCACGCTCTTTCACACTCTTCTCTCTCGCGTATGGAAATATTCAAGTTTTTATCCGTTCGCGGCCGAGGAAGGTTTCCGCGAGCGAAAGTGATGTTCCGGGAAATGGCTCGACGTTCCGACCGATCGCCGGACACAAAACTTTTGTTTTATTATTCTCGAAACACGCGGAACGTAATCGTTACAACAAAGGACACAAAGACGTTCTTTTCCTCTCTTCCAATCGCTCTACGAATCCTGAATCTCTTGAAAACGGTAAATTTGTTCGTCGTCGAGACGGGTGAAAAGAGAAAGAGAGAGTGAGAGAGAGAGAGAGAGATAGAACAGATTTTTCGCTCATTTTCTCGACAATTTTTATAAATTTTTCTTCTCGATTTATTGCCATTCAAGATTTTCTTCGAATTCCAGAGAGAGAGAGAGAGAGAGAGAGAACAGATTTTTCATTTCGAGTATTTTCTCGATAATTTTTATAAATTTTTCTTTTCGATTTATTGTCATTTAAGATTTTCTTCGAATTCCAGAGAGAGAGAGAGAGAGTGAGAGAGAGAGAGAGAGAGAGATAGAACAGATTTTTCGCTCATTTTCTCGACAATTTTTATAAATTTTTCTTTTCGATTTATTGTCATTCAAGATTTTCTTCGAATTCCAGAAAAAGAGAGAAAGAAAGTCAGAGAGAAAGAGAGAGAGAGAGCAAATTTTTCATTTCGTCATTTTCTCGATAATTTTTATAAATTTTTCTTTTCGATTTATTGTCATTCAAGATTTTCTTCGAATTCCAGAAAGAGAGAGAAAGAAAATCAGAGAGAAAGAGAGTGAAAGAGAGAGAGAGAACAGATTTTTCGTTTCGAGCATTTTCTCGACAATTTTTACAAATTTTTCCTCTCGATTTATTATCATATTCATTCAAAATTTTCTTCGAATCGCAGAGAGAGAGAGAGAGAGAGGGAGAGAGATCTTTTTTTTCCAACGCGTTTATCCATTTTTTTTTCAAGCGTAACCGAATCGTTAAGAAGAAGAAGAAGAAGAAGAAGAAGAAAAGAAAGTTTACCCGGCCACGTTTACTTTTCTTACTTTGTTCCTCGTCTCGGCGACACCGTTCATTAATATATTCCTCGGCTTCAGGGTCGATCGAGTTGTACTTTCTCCCGTATTCGAGAGAACTGAATTCCGTGCACCGACCGAGCTTCGAGCATCTATCTGTATGTACACGTGTATCGAATCATTTTACCTGGGCAGACATGATCGTGGAATCGCGGGACACGTATTCCTCGCCGCCACGTACGATTCTTCTCACGAGTTCGTTCATCGTGCCTGTCAACGAATAAAAAACGAATATAAACTTCGTGTCCCATTAACGATAAATATATTTCTAGATATTCGTGTATACGTTTATATTATCTTGTTTGATTGTTATTTATATATATATAGTTCATTTTTAACAATTTAAAATCGAGTTAAATCCGTTCCATTAAAGAATCTCCAAACGCTCGTGAAAGCGTCCTTGTCGCGTGAACTTGATTCACATCTGTTACAACCGGCCATTATTGCGAACCAGATCCATCGCGCGTATCCGTTTATAATTGAAAAAAAAAGTGGAAGAAAAATTTTCTGATTCCTTCTCAAAAATTTCAAATCGTTCGAAGGTAAAAGAAGAAAAACCAACCAAAGTCGTAAAAAAAGATTGGATCATCGAGAAACGTGAAAATGTTTTTCGACAAAATTAATATTCATCTAATTCATCGAGATAGAAATTACGTAAAATATAATGGATACTTACAGATTCTGTTGAAAAAAAAGAAAAAAAAATGAACTATTTCGAGATGCATTTCTCTTCTCTTTGAAAAAAAGAAATAATTTCCCGTTAAAACGTGGCAGGCGTGAACAGCCGTCCCTTAAACGAAATCAACGCTTCCGCGATAACAATAAAATCAATCTCGCCGCGGCTTGTATTATGTTCACGCGAAAGCCCGGCCGGAAAAGAATCATGAAAGCGGGGGGGGGATTGGGAAAAAATGGCACGCGGGACGACAATGGGAAACCGAACGCGGCCATCCAATGAACCCCGGCATCCGACAGTTTCATCATGCCTGCAGCAGATCTGATCTCCCATCCGGAACTTTCATTCTTGCATCGATCAGAGAAATCGTAGCCACCCGTGGCTCGTCGCGATTACACGTACCCGACTTGGTCGTGTGCCGACGTGTCATCGCGAGAACGTTGCGTCACGTTCCATCACGAGCCAAAGGAAACGAAAGATAAAGGAGAATATCTAAGGTGGCCGTGTTTCTGAAATTCTCTTTTAACAATTCTAATAATTTCTTTCTTTCTTTTCAACGATTTCTCCCCTTTTGCTAATATTTCTCGGCTCGACGCGCCTGATGCCATTTCTTTGATTCGAACAATTGGTGTCATCGAACGAATTGCGTCACGCCGTTCCCGGGAAACCGTGTTTCTTCTTTAACGGTTAATTTCTCGAAAAGATCAATTTCTTTCCTTTTGCTAATATTTTTCGATCAATGTGATATTTTCTTTAATTCGAACAATTCTATTATCTTATTGAAGGATTGAAGGGATTGGTCGAAAAAAGGGGAAATTTCTGAATCTTTTTTAATGGTAAATTTCTCGAAAAGATCAATTTCTTTCCTTTTGCTAATATTTTTCGATCAATGCATAATATCTGTATTTCTTTAATTCGAACAATTTGGTTATTGGAGGATTGAAGGGATCGGGCGAAAAAAGATGAATTTTTGAATCTTCTTTAAATTTTTCGAAACGAAAGATCAATTTCTTTCCTTTTGCTAATATTTTTCGATCAATGTACGTAATACGTGGTATTTATTTAATTCGAATAATTCGGTTATTGGAGAATTGAAGGAATTGATCGAAAAAAGATGAATTTTTGAATCTTCTTTAAATTTTTCGAAACGAAAGATCAATTTCTTTCCTTTTGCTAATATTTCTCGATCAATGTACATAATACATGATAATACGTGATATTTCTTTAATTCGAACAATTCTATTATCTTATTGAAGGATTGAAGGGATTGGTCGAAAAAAGGGGAAATTTCTGAATCTTTTTTAATGGTAAATTTCTCGAAAAGGTCAATTTCTTTCTTTTTGCTAATATTTTTCGGTCAATGCATATAATACGTGGTATTTTTTTAATTCGAACAATTCTTATTGGAGGATTGAAGAGATTGGTCGAAGAAAGGAGAAAAGGAAACATTTTCTTTGGTGTCGAACGTTGCGTCACATCGTTCTCAGGAAAGGAAACGAAAGATCTAAGATAACCGTGTTTCTGAATCTTTTTTAATGGTAAATTTCTCGAAACGAAAGATCAATTTCTTTCCTTTTGCTAATATTTCTCGATCAATGTACATAATACGTGGCATTTCTTTAATTCGAACAATTCGATTATTGGAGGATTGAAGGGATTGGTCGAAAAAAGATAAATTTCTGAATCTTTTTTAATTTCTCGAAACGAAAGATCAATTTCTTTCTTTCTCGTAATATCTCTCGATCAATTCGAGAATACATGTGATATTTCTTTGATTCGAACAATTATCTTATCGAAGAAAGGAAATATTTCCTTTGGTGTCATCGAACGTTGCACCACGCCGCGAATCTCCTTTAAATTTCTCGAAACGAAAGATCAATTTCTTTCCTATTGTTAATATTTCTCGACGAGCCAATGAGCGTAATACGTGATATTTCTTCAATTCGATGAAGATGAGAGGATCGAAGGAATGCGCGATCACCCTTTCTAAACCGAGCGCGAGCTAAATTTCCCATCCGTAGATCTGTCGAGCATCAAACTCGTTAAACAAAGCCACTTTAATAAGCGATTACTTGATCAAAATTACTTGAATAACGTTTGTTCCAGCAATACTATCATACTCAATTATATCTTTTTCATACCCCATTGTAAATTGCAATTACAATTATTTCCGATTATTATCTCATTACATTATTTGGAACAAAATTAAATTACCGAACCAACTTGACTATTTTAATTATTTAATTAAATTTTCCTGCCCCCCATCGTCACTGCCACACATCGAAAATATAAATCGTCGAGAGATCACGCGTGGAAGAGTAAGAGTGGCCGGGCGAGACGATTCCGTTCCGGTTCCGTGGACGAAGGTAGGGCGACACTGAGGAGTTCCTCTCACCGGAAGATCCGGTCGCGAGGCGATTCGAAGCGTTGGTCGCGCGTGGAAAGGGAGGAGAGGTGTGGACGAGGATCGGTGCGAAACACGAAGCGAAGCGAAGGGAAGGGAAGGGAAGGGAAGGAAAGGGAAGGGAAGGGAGGAGAGGGAAGGAGAGGGGAGGCGATGGTCGCGTTGGCCTGGCATGAGAAACCTTCGCAATTCCGGACGTGGCCAAATGAATTCGTTCCGAATGCAATTCGCAATTTGTCGTTAACGGTCTCGCGCGAGCGTTGCGAGACAAATGCCTCTTACCTCTGTCGCGTTGTAAATGCTCATCGTGGTGTAATTAAGTTGGAGCACCTGAATAAGAATGCTGTGTACACCCGATTTGGCCCGAATAAACTGTCACGTGCACCCTGCCGCCGATCGATCGTCGCCCCTGTGTTGTGTCCGCACACAACCGTGCGTCGTTTACGATTTCGAATCGAGACGAATCTCGGATATGTGAGATATGTGAGAAAAGCGTTGTCGGCAAAAGTTGCGTCCATGCAACTTTTGATTCCGTTTGATTAAAAGTATAAAAAAAGTGGAATCCGAGGATTCGAGGAAGAGGAGTAGAGAAGAGAGAATGGAAAGGTTAATGGTTGGGAAAATTTGTCGTTCACGTGTCGATATCCTCGTGAAGATTATAATCGTAATTTTGGAAAAATTAATTTTGCGCTTAAGCGTTTCGAAGAATCTAAGGATTTGGGAAAGAAGGTATGGATATCAGTCGAGGTTAAAAGTTTGGAATTTGTAAAATATTACGTGGAATCTGAGAATTCGAGAATGAAATTAGAAGAGTAGAAGAGAGATCTGTAGAAATCCATCAAAAGTTTGAAATTTGTAAAATTCTATAAAAATTATTCGATCGATAATTTAAAATTGTTAAAAATTTTTCATAGAATCTAAGAATTTGAGAAAAAAGATATAGAAATTACTCGAGATCAAAAGTTTGTAAAATTTGTAAAATATTCCGTAGAAATCTGAGAATTCGAGAATGAAATTAGAAGAGTGAGAATATCTTTAGAAGAATCTGTAAGATCTGTAGAATCTGAGAATTTGAGAATGAAATTAGAAAGGTGAGAATAATTAGAACAATTTGTAAGATCTATAGAAATTATTCGATCAATAATTTAAAATTGTTAAAAATGTTTCGTAGAATCTAAGAATTTGAAAAAAGATAGAAATTACTCGAGATCAAAAGTTTGTAAAATTTGTAAAATATTCCGTAGAATCTGAAAAGTCGAGAATGAAATTAGGAGAGTGAGAATATCTTTAGAAGAATTTGTAAGATCTGTAAAAATTATTCCATCAAAAGTTTGAAATTTGTAAAATATTGCGTAGAATCTGAGAATTTGAGAATGAAATTAGAAGAGTGAGAGATATGTAGAAATTGCTGCATCAAAAGTTTGAAATTTGTAAAATATTGCGAATAGAATCTGAGAGTTTGAGTGAGAAAGAAGTGTGAGAGAATATCATTAGCACGGAACAATTTTTTTTAGATAGATAAGATCTGTCTCGGCATAGCGTACCCTTCAAGAGCAAACGTAAGAAGAAAGAGCAAACGAGGTAAAGGAGATGAAGCAGTAATCAAACTAACAAGTTGTTTCGTGATTGGTATTAAATAAAATTTACTTTCGCAGAGGAGCGGAAAATTGTAAAAGGATAAAACGAAAATAGACGAATGACGAAAAAGAGCGGAGAGAAAGAGAAAGAGAGAAAGAGAGTGAGAACGGCGAGCAGTTATCTCGGCACGAAGGAACCTTACCTCCATTCACAGTATTGCGGATGTGTCCAAATGAATTCGTTCCGTATACAATTTACAATTTGTCGCGAGGCGTGCGTAAAGTGAGATAAATGGTGTTCTATATCTTAGGATGGCTGCCGGACAATTAAGTTTCAATCTAGCCGAATAAATGAATAATTCGATTGTTGAGAG